ACATGCGTCTCCTACTGCTTGTCCAGCGGTCAGTAACACAGGGGAGCAGCGTGACACTCACATAGGGTGAAGACCCCTAGAAGTGATGTTATGCTAATGTACATGTGCCAGCATAGTCGTCATGTTAGTGGGTAGAGACTTATACGTCAGTCTCTGACAGAGGTCAGGCTGCAGACAAGCAGTGCAGAGTTTAGTGTCAGAGGTGTAGCTTGGACTTCCGCTGCCTGTCTTTTCAAGGTTGGTGTGTTTCTGCAATACGTCCAGGTGTCTTTTCAGTATAAGCCTGTTATAGTATATAGTGTATGAGGTGGTAAGTCTTGTCAGCTGCACTGAGTTGGGCGGTCGGCACTGAGGCACGATTTATAGCTGTCTTTACAGCGGCGGTGTGTTTGGACATCGTGGAATGTTTTTGTTGGATGTTTCAGTGGACTCGGTTGAGGGCTATTCTGTAGCTGGACTGGACTTGAATCCTTCTAATTCGTTACTTCCTCCAATGAGGCTCTGTGAACGGATTGGGCCCATGTGGCGTTTTGTTATGACTACGGAGCTGCCTCTAATCTTTGCGAAAGTGCATGTGTGTGTGTCTTTTCTTCTACTTTGCGAGGACAATGTGGCTTCGAATTAGACTTTGAAAACAGAGTAGATTTGTTTTTCAAAGCTGTTCTGATAAAATATACATATTCAATGCAGTTTGCTCATCTTAACTTATATTGTGTTGGTAGGCGGCTGGGCAAACATTTGTTGAGAGGTGTACAGAGAGATGTTGACCTTTCAGATAGTTGAAATATTTTGCAATATTTAAGCATGTTTAGTTTTAAAGTTGATATTGATGTCAGCTGTCTATAATTCAGATCATTTCCTTTTTTTGCAAACTGAATGACGCAGCAGTGGGTCACGTCTGTAGTAAATGACCATTAAATTGTTGCCGATAAATGTTCACATTTAATTGTTACCTTTTGTCGGTTGATTGAGGAGTCTGGCCTCAAGAGCAGACAGGCGTCATTTCAAATATAGCGGCCATTTCTGCATGATATTTGAATATTTGCTTAAATTGAAAATGAATTCCTAGGTTTCTTTTAACAAATTGATCAGTAGACCTGCACTGGACGGGAAGCCTACGCATTATCACTTCATATTCATTTCAATATGTACACTTTTCCTTGTTCATAGTGGATACTTGGTCAAAGTAAGAAAACAAAGTCTGGACAGGCAGAATTACCAGAATAGGTAAATAAAATGGGACTCAGGTCAAATGGCCAGAAAAGATCGATATATCTAAACAAGTTCACTTGATTTAACCTATAGTGTTTATCTTAATAAGCCTCGTGTAGGTTAAAGCATTGTGAGCTGAGAAAGTACATTACTCTGAACATTACAGACACTGATTCTGCTACTCCGTACTTTAACATGTATACTGTATGTCGCACGTACACTACAATGATACAGATATTGCATATTTTTTAAGCCGATGCTGTTCTTCATGCATTGCGTACTTTCTTGCTTTTAAAATTGTGAAATGAAACAGAGATTTGTTTACGTGCAGGAGTATTTAAATAACCACATGAAGCTATTCTTAAGACTGAGCTAATAAGCTCTGCTATGACATGGCTTTGACTGTGAGGGGCTTTTTCGGCTGTCAGGGGTCATTCCCGAAGAGCAACAGTACCACACGGAGAACAGACTGGGGTGTTGTTTAAAAAAATAGATATAAAACATATAGAAGGGTCAAGAAATCACAGCCAATAATGAGATCTGTATATTATATTCTGATCTCATACATAATGTTATGAACATTTGGCCACCATTTTCAATAGCAATACAGTTGTGAACACTTACATTAAAGAGTTTGTAAAAAATACTTTTAAGATGTATTTTATGTAATTTAAATTTATTTTCTTCCTCATAAAACTGACTTCATCACTACAGACAGATTTCATTCTTCAATACATTTTGTTCTGCAACTGAAAGCCTGATGTCAGCTCTGGTCATCAGCATCAGATAAATGAGCAAATATTCTTGAAAGTAAACTGTCTGGGTTGCTCAACATGTGTTATGTTTTCTTAAGACATTTGTGTTCCTGGTTTAAGTTTATGATAAAAAGAGTAGATAATCCATACATAACATCTGCCCAAATGCAGAGACCAAACAATGCTCTTGACTGAGCAGATTTTCTTAAATTTTGCCCAATTTCTGAATCACTTGAGTTCATCAATTTGTCATTAACCAGAAAGAATATCGAATTTATTGTTATTATTATAAGACATTAGAGGTACTACACATATTTAGCTACTCTCTGGTACTCTTTGATAACAAATATTCTAATAAAGCATTATAACTTTTTTAACATTATAATATCTTTTACATTTTATTGTAAATGAATGCAAATAACAAAAGGTAGATATTCCACGGCAGTTGTAGTAGGAATGTGTCCGGGCGGTGCGGCTGTGTCCACTATTGCAAACTAAGATCATTAAATCACAGTATAACACTGAGATACTGTTGATTTTCCTCATCATTATATTTACAAGTTTTTCTCTCTGGCTATCCACCTTGACACCTATTGTCCCTTTCTTCATCACAAAATGTGTCTGAAGTGTCTGTCTAGCACATTGTGCTGGTAGCCCAAGAGTCCATATTAGTCTATTAAGGACAGTGTGTGTCGGGGGGGGGGGGGGGGGGCAGCTCCAGTATTTATAGCTCTGAGTCATAAGCTGGAATGGGGGTAAGTATATCTCTCCATCAGCATGCTTAAGAGTGTGTACAATCGGCAGTGAAACTAATAACTGTCAACTGTCCAAAAGTGAGTCAGTTATCATAATTACACATGTCACTCCTTAGACTATGGCATGTTATTTTATAGGTATGTTTTATGTTTTTGTTATTGTATGTATCGCAAATACATCCAAATTAAACTCGACAAAAACACCCATGTGGTTGTAGTGACTGAAGCTGCTCTAAATTAAGTTTTTCATAAAATGTGTATTGTTATATATTTTTAAACCATTTAATCACATTCATTACTGTTATTTATTTTTTATTTTGTCCTGTTAGTTTTGAGTTTTGTTGAGTTTTCATTTTCAATATCAGGGTTTGATTTCGGGACCATATGTCGACAGCAGGGTACTATATAGCTCAGTATAGCCTAGCGTATAAACTATGGTTGTTTTATGATGAGTTTATGAAGTGGCAATGTAATCGCAAAACCACATAACAACTACATAAGCCAGTAGGAAGACAGACCTGGAAGCGATAATCCTCTGCAAGATTCAGTTGCATAAATTCATATTTTAAAATGTCTCTTCTTCTGCCCCATATTTAAAAAGGACAACCACAACCCGTTTTATTATGATCCTTCTCTCGGCATGTGCAGTACAACCTTTTAAGAAGAATCTGTGGAAATGTGATCACAAATAACCATAATGCAGTGCATCATGCGAACTTTGTGGCTGACAAATCTTGTTCTCGAACAATTTGAGAATTCACCATGTCTAATCTCATTGGCTTGTCACCTTTTAGCAGGGTTGGTAGGAGTACTTTATAGATAGGGCACTGCCAGGTGCTTAACATAGATGATGTGATGAATAGTTAAGTAGACTAAGTTTAGACAGCTCGTGAGAACATTCATCAGAAAAGGACAGGCCAGTCAAACATGGTCACAGCACCAGTTGGTGATGTGGTTCTAAGTGCTATTAACAGTTTGGGTTGTAAGAACCTGGTGTACGGAGCAGTGTAGGAAAATGGGCGCTTCAGCAGCTAACCTATTGATATCTGAACCGTGCTTTAAACAGTTGTCCCTCTTCTACTTAAACTAACTCGCTCTGTATCCGAGAAATTGAAATTATGTTGCAGCACCCGGTCCGTGGTAGATGTGCTGTCACCTCTCTGTGGAAGGTGAAATCCATCATGTTCCATATGATGGTTAGAATTCAGTGAAACAGTGTATGAACTACGTTTGCTATTGTGATAAAAACGCACACTGAAAGTAGCAAGAGCTGTTGATTGCAACATGAAAGCTATTTCCTGCTTACGTTTACATTGCTTTATTTGTAATGCAAATGGTCGAAGGAGGCTGCTGTCTACTTATCTCTACGGTCTGAGAGAAGAACTTCAGGAGGAATTTCGGAGTTCACGTACCTCGTAGGGGATTTTACTCGTCAGTAATCTGGACAATCATATCTGACACCAGGAGACGGACAGAGGTTAAGAATCCTAAGATTTAAAAATTTTGGTTGATGAAAACTTACCAGTTCCTGAGTACAGAAAAGACACCAAGGAATTATAGAATATGAGATATTCTGGGCATATTGTTCTGCACCCCAGCTGACATAACCATCTTTCCTAGCTACTGTCATCAGCCACACAATGTAAAGAAAATACCTTTGCTTACCATTGTTAGGTGAGAGAACAGCACAGTTACACAGTCTGTGAATATGGGGAACTGAGACTTTCTAACAGTTGATGCCAATAAGAAAAGGAAAGCAGTGGACTAAATGTCATTTTGTAGTTCTATGATCAAAACTGCGCAAAAGTGGTCCTTTTTTGGTAGTTTTGTAATCGTATACAATATCTGCATTAAGCATAATCACCAGCCACAGTTGTGACATTAGCAGCCAATAATGGTAGTGAAGTGGTGTGATGATTGAAAACAGTGTGAACTTAACTGAAAGCAAAACAATGTTTTTTTGTGCTGGATATTAAGACAAAATGTGCTGCTTTAGACAGCAGTAACATTTGAAATTGACATATTATTCACAATAAAGACTTATCCTTTGCTCTTGCATGCCAGATTTCTCACCTATAGTAACTGAAAATTGAAAACCACCCTCCACTACTTCACTTGTAGATAGTATTAAGTGTATCTAATTTGTGTTTAATTCAACCACCCATACTTTCATATCCTGTTCATTAGTAGTTCCCTTCTCAGCTATTCTGTGAAATCTAACAAGGTGAGTGGATTTGTCCTTTGAGATATGTGATGTTTATTTTTTGTTCCCCCATAGCATCAGTACGGTGCCCGTGGACAGCGGCAATAATAAGTGCCTCCAGGTAGGCGCAGGTGGTGTGCAGGCGGGGCCTCAGCAGCAGAACCAGCAGTTCCTCCTGAGCCCAGCCAGCCTCCAGCTCGCCCAGCTCCAGGCCCAGCTTACCCTCCATCGCCTGAAACTGGCTCAGGGTGGCAATTCAGCCGCTGCTGCCACTGTTCTCAATCAGGTTCTTTCCAATGTCGCCATGTCCCAACCCCTGTTCAATCAGCTACGGAACACTATGGTTAGGAACCCTCAGGGTGCCTTCCCCACGGGAGTGCTAGGTTTTCCCTCTTCAAATTCAGCGTTGGGGGCCTTGGCTGGGGGGGGATTCAACCAAAACCCAGGGAATGTGAGAGTGAACCACCCTGGTGGAGTGGGGGCGGTGGGCCAACAGAGTGCGGAGTATGGTAAAACATCAGCGTCAACTTACCCTTCTGATACTGACAGGCGTGTTCAGTACAACTTAGTTGGTGCAACATCTGGAGCGTCAGCCACAGCTGGTGATGGACAGTACACGGTGATTAACACTCATGCAAAAAACATGAACAACGTTGGTTTTCAGAGAGATTTCTATGGTTGTGATGTGCTGGGACAACAATCTGGGTTTAGTGTCAATGAGCAGAACATGAATGTTTATAACTCCACTGGGCTTAAGGAGCAATGGAAAGGCCCCGCTAACTTGAGTCACACTGGAGGGGTGGACAGGGTTTCTAATGCTGCCAATGTGTGGACAGCAGCTGGGCAGCCAATTCGGTCCAGAACAGAACTGTATAACCCAGAGGAGCCAACCCCTGACCCCAAGTTCAATCCCAGTAGTGGGATTTCCTCTTTTGCTTCAAGTGGCTCGCAGGGGTTTGGGGGCTACCAGCCCCTGCATGGAAATGAGGAAACCGTATCTTCAGGTACCAGGACACTTCAGCCCTACCAATTCAATGATTACCATGCTGTCACACCCAATCAACTGCCACACCAGTGTAGCATCTGTGACAAGAAGGTCTACAACCTTAAGGTGAGTGAACCCATCACTCACAATATAAATGCTTGCATGTAAATGTATGAGGAGTTGCTTGTTTTGTAAGCATATACATGTAACTGTAATGCCTGAAACTATACAGAATGATTCACCAGCAAGTTTAACATTTTTCAGCTTACATCTTAATTGAAAATAGACAATGGAGTGTTGAACAAATGGGCAAGTTTGTCTTCAAATTAAGCAAGAAGTCATTTGATGTTATTCAATCACTAAAATGGGTTAATGTCCTGGCTTTGGATTAGAAAATTGGCATTTCAGTCTGAAAATAGCTAATATACTGTCGCTAAATGTTTTGATTTAAGGAGCAGCCACTAACTAACCAATCCAAGATGTTGTCTCTTTAACTGCTCTCAGCCATGAGCTTATACACCGGGTATGTAAGACCTACCATGGGAGGGCAAGCAGTGAGCTTCCAGTGATTCCAAGCTGTCTGAGACTATGTTCGGATGGTGTGCGTGTGTGTTTTAGGACTGGGACCATCACGTGAAGGGAAAGCTACACCTGCAGAACCGTACCTTGTACACAAACGAAAGGTGAGTTATTTGCTGCTCAAAAATGTATCGAACAGAGTTGAAAGTAGGTCATGATTGCAAAATGTTCTCTACTGTGTTGTTTTACTATTGACTGACAATTTGAGATGTTCACAAAGCTAGTGGCCTCACACGGGACATTTTGTTTTTAGTTCATTTTCAAACAATAATAGCTAAAAAAATGTTACTTTTATAATTAACCTTGACCATAGTTGGATATTTTCCCCTCTCGCTTACCAGCTGTGTTACAGTATGTTTGTTTTAGTTTTAGCACTATGCTGATCAGTTCAGAGCAATATCTCTCGAGTTTGAAGCATTTCATTTTGCTTTTCCTTGCTCTATATACGGCTGGCATGTTTCTATGAATATGAGCTCTGTCACTAGATATGAGCAAGCAAGGCAGGGGAGAGGCAGCTAAAATCAGCCTTCTCTGATTGTTGCAGCTCCTCTGTGGTATCGGCTGGAGCTGTTCACTACGCTGTCGGTAGGTCTTCTGATGGAGGTCTGAACCCCGGAGGGACGAACGCCATGGTCTACTCTGCTGCAAGTCAAGGTAAGGTAACCCATATGTCACCACAACTGCCTCTGTTTGTCAGCAATGTTAAAGTGATGTTTATCTGATTGCCGGAATATGTGAAACAGCGTGATAGATGCAGTTGTTGTTGCACATATTAATAACTGCAAATCCATAAAGCTGATGTCGCTTGTCCAATGCTTATCTACTCTGAAACAAATTGAGCAGCAGTTTTCTACCCTATCGACAGTATCTGTCCACCCTATATCTATATCCCTTTCTATATCACTTATCACTTCTGTATAATTTAAAGGCAAACCACCTGTGGTTGGTCGCAGGCAGCTTGAATGAGCCTTTGCACGTAACTCTTTGAGCAGCCTTAAGTTGGAGAGATTGTCTCTTCACTCAGATAACCGTTGTTTACTGGTACATGTGTTGCCTTTTGTTGATTCTTCTTATAGTTCAGTGTTTAGAAAGGTTGGGGAACAATAGCTGTAAATAAGAAGGACAATTCATGTCTTGTTTTGAGCTACCCACACAACTGTTGTAGTAAGCCAGCACCATGGGCCAATGATGAGAAATCAAGCCATATCATTATAAGTACAGCACATTCAACTAGTTGTAAGTTTAAAAAAATTATGTTTTTAAAATTTAGAAATAAGCCTTGATTCAACATTTGTATTTATCTGTATTTAAGCAGTTTCAAACTGTCGGTTGTAAACACCAATCCACTGCTGGGGAGAAACAAACAGCATAACAGAGTGTAACTGAGAACCTGAGAGGATATTGACAGTATCACCGTACTTCTCAGATGTCAGTTTTAGCACTGATGCATGTTTTGTGTCAACCCAGTGTTTTAAAATTCCATAATTATACAACACAAACAACAAAATAATAAAAAGAAAAATAACTAATCATGATTTGAATTATTCCCTTTGTAAGTAATATTTATAACAATGCGTGTCAACAAATAACTTCATCCCACACTTGGTTGACTGTATGCAGAGGTTATTAAATCCAGATTTCAAATCGTTTCCACAGATGTATCTACAGGAGCCAATGCATCATACTTGCCAGTTGCAGCCATGACGACTTATCCCGCGTCAGATACGGGATTCGTCTCACACCAGCCAGAGTCAAAGGTCAGACAAATGTATGTTTTTTTTCCTCAGGATTATTAGAGTTTGCCCTTGACATATAAATCTCATTTTGTGACCGGCTTGGAAGAATGCCAGTGAAAAGGACCAGCTGTCATCCTTGAACATGAACACGGCTATACCTTGATCATATCTTGTTTCACGGAAATTGATTGATGGTGATTAATGAATAATATTTGACTCTAATAATGACTGTTGCATTAATAGACTCAGAGGACAATGGCCAGCTTTCATTGGTGTTCTTTGGTGCAGAGTAAGATGATATGTTATTATATTTTATCTCTAATTACGTTTAATACTGCATTTCTTCTGTGTTTCTTAAAATAATGTGTTGCTCAGCAGCAGGAAAAAGTATGCAAAGTGTGTAATGAATGGAGCCAGAAGGTGTTTGCTTAATTAATAGACCCAGATCCTCTTGTTGACAGCTGCTAGCCCAACAGCAGGCTTTGTCTGGGCTGGACAACTCTTTTTCCACTCTGTGTCATTAAAATGTTGGCTATAAAAGAAAGTGTTGAGACTTTTCTAATATCCTTATTTTACCACTTAATTATTATTCAGCCCCTGGATACATTTGATGCAGTAAAATGGGTTTATATGACAAAAAACGGAAGTTGTTATATAGAAGGGGACATTTGTGAATTTGTATTCAAATATTATTCTTACTTTGGGATTATTTTATTGTTACTTACATTGGCTTTATTTTAGGCAGGGTGACACACATTTCCCATTTGTAAGTGCGTCCTACTGTAAAACTTTAAGACCGGACACAACTCAGCAGCGTCTTGAATTGTTTGCTTTTTAAAAACAGAAACCGTTTCATGTTAACTAAAGCAGCTGTCCACATACGCTCTGCACAGTCCAATGCTCACACTACAGCACTCAAGTACTGTTAAGAGCTAACTGATTTTTTGCAATTCAGAAAAAATGTTTGCTCGACTTACACGTGTAACAAAGCTATCATGCAATCACTTTGACTGAATGATGCAGGATTTGAATGGCATGACGCTTGCATGGCATGACGTGATAAAAAGAAAATAATTTAAATGAGCATTAGTCCAGAAGGTTTTATCCATATTGCATAGACAGAAGTTATTTAACAATTATAAGACTATTCATTTTTATGAATATTTATTTTAGTGCTAAGCCACACAGTCTGTTAACTTACTCAAATTTAAAACTTTGATTACAGTGGAGGGTGCAAATATAGTACATTGTAGGAACGTGTCAGGGTACCAATAATGAAGAAAAGCTCTTGTTAATCTCATCACTTTGCCTTTGGCTACAATTAAATTTGAGTATTGTTAGGAAATGATTTGTCACTGCTTGCTGACCCACAGTCGGTTAGCCTGTCCAAAAGTTTTGGCCGCTGACTGGGGTTGAAAAACAGCAGCTGTTGATAGGCGTCCATCACGAAGAGGTGTCCTGAAAAGCAAAGTGCAGCAGATGAGCAAGGTGAGAATTAGCCCCACCAAACCTGTGGAAAGCCAACTCTAGTGCCGGGCACACAGCTTTCAACAGTCAGCGGGCATTATGTTAGACACATACCTGCACACAGATATATACTGTACACACTGTCCGTTGTGTATTTAGTTGCACTTCTTGAAACATACCATACCAACCTTTACAGGAAATGTTCAGGCCCTGTCCCAAAAGCTCCTTAATTAAGCCACATTATACAGTATACACACTATTCACACTATCGAAAATGCATCCTAAAAAATGTAGGATGCAGTTTTTCATTTGCATGACTAATATTTGATATTGATTAAGATTCGATATAATATAACAAAAGAAAACCAAAAAGGTTTCACCAGCCAATGCGAAAACACGAAAAAAGAGAAAGGCCCATGTTTGGTTTGTCTGCTCAAGGCTACTGTAGAAACATGACAGTTGGCTCAGTGAAGAGGACCCGCTCCTCCAGTATAAATGGCTCATTCCAAGGTTCTATATATATATACACGTTTGTATATATAAACTATATATATATATATATATTTATATTTAACTTACATTCCTTCCACTGTAAAACCACTTCTTCCGTTTCAACAAACATGCGTAACTCTGCTGTTTTGTATCAGCCAATTTAACATGAGCCTGAACTCAGTAACATGAAAGTCATACACTTCATTGGTCGGTTATTGACAAAGAGTTTTATTGTAGCAGTGGGAAAATATTTATAGGCTGTGCTGCATGAGCTAATGTTGGTTGCTATAAACACACACCTGTCGAAGCGGAACAGTTGGGGTTTTTTTCTGGTTTTTAAGCCCTGTGTTCAACAGAGAGCACTCACACAAATGCACACGCACCACCGCATGCAATGATAACTTGTCAATTTATTTTCGATGTATGAAGTTTTATTTATGTATGTTTGGATATGAAAGTCAAAATATACAAAAATGAGCACAACCTGTACAGAGAAGCTCACACACGTGCATTAGCACATGCATGCATATCTTTTGCATGCTTGCACATACAAAGCAGTCCTTAGTTTGGACTGCAGTTTTCCGCAGCCCGGCTGGAAGTAAAACAGTAGCTTTATGTGATAAGACAACTCAAACAGAGATAAACACAGGATTACAGCTAACTGCTGTGAAGAGCACAGACCTTAAGACCCCCTGGTCACACCCCGAAGGCAGTGTTGTAACATTTCAGACTGGTGAGAGACGGGTAAAGCGATCTGACGGATAGGCGTGTGAAGGAACGTGGGGAGAAACTGTGAAACCAGACTGACTACCTCCCTGGATCCTCCAACATGGATCCTGCTTTGTACAAACAAACAGACATGTCCTGCGGAGAGATTCCAGCTAATGATAGTCGGCACGCTGTCAGTGAAAACAGGAAAGCACTCAGTGTGAAATGGTTGTTCAGCAGGACATAGTGTTGAGTGTTTCAGCCACAGAACATATGGCTGAATACACTCTGGCAGGTAAAGACATTACCACTGTTGACTGCAGTGTAGGGTGCAAATTGTCTGATTGGTAGATTTATGGAAAAGTGCATTTAAGACAAGAAATTATGTATTTTTTCCTATTGTCTTTGGGCTAAATTGAAATAAAAGCAAAATTAAGATGTGACGAAGCAAACGTTATAGAGAATCATTAATTACACAAGGTATTTTTCTTTCATAATTAATTTCCAATTCAATCAAATTATTTTTTTGGAGCTGACCAGGTTAATTGGTCTTAATTCTTAGAATCAAACTGTAGTGAATGTAAGTGCATAACCTGCTTTGTGTGGGTGATTTAAAGCATAAAACCATGACATTGTTTAACTACGGTGTTGCTCCATATATTCAAAGCCCCTCTATTACGGGGCTTTGAATATATGGAACAACAAAAACAAAACTTTTGTGTAAAAAAAAAAAATCTAATTTTTAAGGATAACCTGGCGGTGTGGTGCCTCCCTGTGAGTGGTATTGACATGGCATAACTCTGTGCCTCTGGTGTGCGGTTAACAGGAACAGCTACCGTTCAAAGCATGATCCAACCTTGACTGTGACATCAATGCCGTGGTCAAACTGTCTGAGCTTCCAGACACAGACAACATTTTACAGGTCACACATTAGTGACTCTTCTCTCTAATATCGCAAGGACATAAACAGCCTATTCCTGGATCTGTTTAATGAACCCAACCTGCTCTGACCTTTGTGTGTCCTGGTGATGCCACTGAGCTGTTGATAGAATTATTGCTCTTATCAACTGCTGGCCAGAAACCATTCAGCTATGGCATCGAAATTCACTGATCTGGCTCATACAGATCATCATTTGATTGGGGTTGTATGGATAGTTATATGTCTTTTCCACAATTTGTGGACAGAAATAACTGCCTAAAATGTATAGTATCCGCATCGAAAAAGAGTTGAGAAAGCAAAAAGTACCCTTTCAAAAGAAAGTCAGTTTATTAATAACTACTAATATCAGATTTTGTTTTGGGTACAATCACATGTAATTTATTTAACAATTTGTGATCAGTGCTTCATGTATGTTATCAATACTGATATACTTGGCTCTGATTATGTTTCAACATGCATCGTAAAGTGATTTTGAGATTGCAAAAGTTTCCTCCTCCTCCTCCTCCTCCTCATACATTCTACACCTCACCCAGTGTGAAGTGTATGTTAGTGTTGATGTTTTCCCTGAACAAATTCCCTGTAAAAATAGAGAGCCTAGCTGCTGGTCCGAGGTGGTATTAAGACCCCAGTCTGTCCCGCACATGTAACTGTCTGTCAGGTCCATCAGTCAGCAAAGCAGGAGGAGGAGGAGAAGGGGCACTGGAAAACTTGCAGTGGCAGCACAATGGTTGCAGAAATAAGACTCCAATATATGACGCTCTGAATTTACAACCGCTTTCTGAAATGATGTTCGGGGGAACATGAGGTGTCAAACGGTATGTCCAACGACTAGGTTGATGATGAATAAAGATAGACAGATTCAATCAGTCAGTGGTACTTGCCTTTGCATTTTTTAAGTTATAAATGTAGTAAGTAAATTGTTCTGGGGAACTAATGGGAAAGGTGAAACAACTACTAAAAGGATGCATATAATGCCTGATAAACGTTAGTCTTCTCCTTCACATGCTCCTCCGCTATGCGTAAAGCTATTTCTTTTGATTATCTGTGTTACCGTCTTAGCATGGCTGTTCTCTAAATTCTGCTTTGGACAGAGATGGAGGATGACAAATGTGGTGATTTTGAGTCCATAGAGGGAAAGATTCACGTAAAGCCCAATCTGAAAAGAGAAGGAAGGGAAGACTAAACACTGTAAACATGATCTGCCTTAAAAACAAATCTATAAAAGTAAATACGATAATAATAAAGCAATGGATTGTCAGAAACAATAATAATGCAATATCTACTGTCTCTATGCAGCGTTCTGTGTCTCCATGAAGAAAAATATAATTTACTGCTCATTTAACCACTTTCTATTAAGTTACAAAAGCAATGCAAGTCGCTATAGTTGGCAGCCCAGAGGGATTTGTGTGAAATGTCTCGGGCCAGTCAGCTGACAAGTCTCTAAATCCAAACAAGTAAACTTTCATTATCACTGCCGCACTACTGCCAAGGAACTATTAATAGATGGAATGAGGTGGATTGTATTAAGGAGGGAAACTGACATGACATCCTGTGTGATACTGTTACACTGATGTTAGACAGACTAGTTTCCTACACTATGATTGACTCGGATGTACTATGAAGATTGTTAAAAGGGCACACTGACATTTCTTTTATGATTTGAAGTTTTTTATTTTTTGCCATCAAGCACACAGTTAGATGAAAGGATCAATAATTGATTTAATCTCTGTTTTATTTCTGTGTATCCAGTTGAGAGTTCAGCCTATCTTTACAGATTCACTGGAAGCAGGGGGGAAACTGCTAGCCTAGCTGTGTCAAAAGTGAAAAAAAAAATAACAAGTTTAAAATCCCCGTAACTGTCGTAGTTACATGTTATATCTTTTATAATTACCCATGAAGAAATAGAAAAGGAGGCGCTGTGGTTGGAGCTGTTAGCTTACGCATTGCAGCTAGATTCCTTCACCATATGACACATGGGTTCAGTGCACGCTAACTAAAGTTAACAACTCAACACAACCAGACGACTAGCCCAGTATTCATGGTGATAATTATTATATATTATTGTAAGCAGGATGTTGATATATATTGATGTACTGGATTTTATTATACTGGTCTGTCTGATACTTAAAACAGCATTCATGGTTGTAATTGTTTTTATTATTTGCAGCCATTTCCACCCAGAAAGGCAACAACTGGGCGAGTCGTCCACATCTGCAACCTCCCCGAGGGCAGCTGCACAGAGAATGATGTCATCAACCTGGGACTCCCCTTTGGCAAAGTCACCAATTACATCCTCATGCGCTCTACTCACCAGGTACAAGGATATTATTGTTTGATTCTTTTTTATTCATATATATCAGTACCAGTACAACTCACTCAGGTTTCAGTTAGGACTGAACTACACCATTAATATCACGTGGCATTGGTTTCAGGGACTAAAGCAACTGTTATGGTGGTTTGTTACGGTAATGAAATGTGATAGCTTGAGATGATGATTTTCAAAGGTTATCTTAAATCCAGTCTGACATGTGAAATGTGAAACATTATTGTGCAGATGCAAGAGAAACCATATAACTGTCAGAGGGGGATTATTGTTTTCTGTTCTCCCATTAGGCATTTCTGGAGATGGCGTATGTTGAAGCCGCTCAGGCCATGGTTCAATACTACCAGCTCACTCCAGCTGCGATTGACAATCAGAAACTTCTTATACGAATGTCGAAGAGGTACAAGGAGCTGCAACTCAAGGTAAGGCTGAACAACAAAATAAACATTAGGTTAAATGCTGCGTTGGCTCATTACTTAACTGGAATTTATTTTCTGTATAGAAACCAGGTAAAGATCTTCAGTCCATCATCCAGGACATCGCCTCTCAGCGGGGAAAGGACGAGATGCAAGAAGTTGAACAGTAAGACAACTTTTCATTCTACTTTATCAGGCTCCTTTTTTTGTGTAGCCAAGTTCTTTGAGTCACTAATTGAGGAAAGCAAAATGGAAATCCACTAAGGTAAACATTTTGTAGATGACTACTTAAGCCTGCGTGATATTTCTGATCTCCAAAATCACAACACAAAGTGTCGTTTTAGAGCATTTCTCCATGTAATCTGACCATCATCTCCTTTCAGCTACATGCCAGAGAGAGCACGCTCCCGCAGTCCAATCAGCCGCTCACTAAGTCCTCATTCCCACAGCCCCAGTTTTACATCATGCAGCTCAGCCCACAGCCCCCAGGGAGGACCATGCAGGGGTCCGGAGAGAAACAGCAATGGCCTGGGCCCCCGCAGCGGCTCTTGGGATTGGTCCTCACACTTAAGAAGGGGTGAGGACGAACGGGAGAGGGATGACCTATGGAGGAATGGGGGCAGTATGGAAGACGATCGGCCAAATGGACGGGCAGCTGACCGTCGGAGGGCTTATCAGAAACCCTTGGATCATATCAGCTCCAGATCTGCAGATGAGCGAGAGGGTGGAGGAGGAGGAGGAGGAGGAGGAGGAAGTGGAGGTGAAGGGATAAGGGGCAACAGAGACTGGCACCCACGAGGCAGCCCTCAAGGCATGTCCTTCAGCTCTTACAGGAATAAGGAGGGCGAGTTCTACTCGAAGGAACAAATGTACAAGTCGGACAAGCCGCCCAGACCTCCATACCAGAGGCATGATACCAAGCCAAAGAGGAGGGATGGTGGTGACCACCACAGCAGATCGAAGCATTCTGAGTTTGAGATCACTGAGGAGCCCCTTCGCAGAACACTAGAAGACAAGAGGCAGGGTTCACCAGGCAAAGACAGGAGCAAGAAGACAAGCAGGAGGTGCATCACTGAGGAAAAACATGAGAAAGAAAACACTACTGATAATAATGTGAGTAACTTTTGTAATATCATTTGTTGTTGTATACTTTGCGTGGCACATCCTTCCAGCTGTTAAGGCATTTCTTTTTCCAGGATCGCAAGTCAAAAGAAAAATCAGTTTCACCTCAACAGACCAATATGCCAAAAGAGTCTACTGAAAGTAGCAAAGAAAGAGACACTGTAAGTAAGCATTAAGATCTTCATTACACATTCAAACTCCTGTCAGGGCAACTGTAACCTCTTTAAAGCTCCAGGTTACTACTACTGCAGAGTAGAGTATTAATGGCTCTTTTCTCAATGCATTTTCTAAGGTGAAGGAGGGGGAAAGTGGAGATGACACTGATGAAGAGTGTTGGTATCCTAAGTACATGGAGGAACTGGTCACTGTAGATGAAGTGGGAGGAGAAGATGATTCCATAATTGAGCCAGACCTTCCCGAGCTGGAAGAATATGTATCCTGCCCCAAGGGGTCTGCAGAGGAAGAAGCAGTGGATGAGTATATACTACCACCTACCTCCTCCTCCTCCTCCTCCTGTGATGTGCAGGAGACATCTAATGAGAAGTCTAATCAGGAAAGGTTCTGTGAGGATGCTGGAGACCCGGCAGAAACATCTGTAAAGGAGAAACCAAGGAGTGTTTTAACTGCAGCCAGTCCTGAAGACCATACACTCAGTCCAGTGACTCAGGATCTACCAATCCCCAACCTTATTGACTTCTCCAGTGAGGAGTTCAAGGCTGCACTGGAGGATACATGTTTAGAGGATAAAGTAACCAAAAGTGGGCCATCAGAGGAGCCAATGGAAAATCACATCTGTGTTTCAGAGGACAGCAAAACCCTGGAAGTAGAACAGGTCACGGAAACAATCAATAATGGGGTTCAACACAAGGATGACATTCATCAAAAAGGTACATTTCAAAAGAGAAGTCAAATGTTTGCATCAGAACCATGAGAGATCAAGCGTTCAGTTACATGAAGCATCTTAAAGGATAGGTTTAGTATATAGTATAAGGACAAGTATTTACGTTTTGTCCAAAAAAGGCATTCTAAAGGAGAAAGAAAGTTAGGAGTTTCACATTACAACTATAAACTATATGCATTTCCTGCAGTTATGATTGTTGTAAACAGCTATGTATTTGGTTTCTTCCCTGAGGGAATAGTTTCAGATATTCCCTGCAACTCTGTCATGTAATGTCCTAAAACTAGTGTCAAAAAATATATATTTTTGAGTAAAAGTAAATACATCGTGGTGAGTTAGTGGTTAAAAAGTGTGGTGTATACTGTGATTTCTCTCCTATCATGGATAATAAAAGCTCAATTTGTGTTGTATTGTGCATCCTGCCTTTCTTATAGCTTACATGCCTTTTACAGAGATCGAGGCCCCCTCGCCATCTCGTGAGCAAGACAAAGCTGTCAGTGAACACAGCATCCCTTTGGGTGAGCATAAGTTTTATCATCACTCTGAACCAGAATGTTTGAAAATACACTGACATTGAGAACTCTACGCACTATATATGAGATCCTCAATTTTTTATTATGTAAAAAATATTCATAAAAAAAGTGATACAACTGTATCAGATTTCTCTGGCTGAATCAAACCCAGTCCAACAGTCTTTGAACTGGTCTATATTTAATGGTCGTCACAGAGATAAGTTCATAGAGTCTGGAGCTTGCGGTTTTAGTGTTGTCATGTACACCATTAATAAGTGCACTGACAACCTGTTGCATTAGCACTCTAATTGACTGGAATTGCTTGGTCACTTGCTGACCTATTTCCGTGAGCAGGTTGTGAAATGCACCCCTGAGAGATGAGTATTTATATTATCATTAGGGCTAGAATGACACGGCCAAGCACATGGCCAATGTTGGGCCTGCTGCGTGGAGACTTTACATAAGCCCTGGTGCAGTGTAACAACAATAGCCCACAGTACAGACACATGAGTTTGGTTATTCCTGTTGTATGATGCCCTGGGAATGTGTGTGTGTGCGTGTATGCGTGTGTATGTGCGTGTGCGTGTGCACTTGCGCATGCGTGTGTCTAGAGCAAACTGTGTCCAGCATGGATAGCATTGTCACAGCCAGATATGTGTTGTTGAAATGTACCTTGATACTCATCTGAACAGTGTGTTTTAAAGGACTAAAATAACAGACATACTAATACATGTGATATGTGTTTTTGTAATAGGAGAGTGACTTCATTCTCAGATAGACGTTACTCCACTATATCTTTAGATAGCATATAGTTGTTTGCTGCGATATTAATGCTCTGACTGTTGTGTAGTAAACCTTTAGGTAAGAGAAGAGCGTCCCGTCCTCTTTAATTCATTCATCAAAGGAGAAAATAAAATTGTGGTGTTTTTATAGAAGATTTTTCATGTGCAGTTTACATCATTTATTTCCTATCTGAGTGACATAAAAGGTTTTCATTTTGGTTTAATCTTTTCTGGTAATATATGTTGTCCTTTGTCATTCCAATTGAATGAAAAGTTGCATTTAAAATTGTTTTATGTCGACTAGAATCAATCAAATAGTATATTGTAGTTGGAGTGCAGAAGCTAGATGAGTAGTTAGGGGTTCACCAAGAGAGGTAATATAAGGTATTTATTTAGCCCGCATTGACAGAGGCATGCTTTAGTTTCTCTGTGTTGATTTGAATAACTGAGAATGACACAAAAGTTGTTTAGTAAATAAAATAAGCAGGATAATTTCACTTTCAAAATTTGGATAGAGTGAAAATAAAAATTATTTTATTTTTTAAACTAAGACAAAGTGTATAAACTGTATTGCTAAGTGCTATCCCTGTAAATACCCTTTGTGAGGACCCTCGTCTGTCAGGTGCTGATTTCTGGGATTGAATTTTAATAGTTGCGTTTGCTGTCTAATAGGAGTGGAGTTCATAGTGCCAAGGACGGGCTTCTACTGTAAACTCTGCGGCCTGTTCTACAACAGTGAGGAGACTGCAAAGACCACTCACTGCCGCAGCACCGTGCACTACAGGAACCTACAGGTACACGTGGATCGGTGAAACTCCGGTCCTTCACGGGATGATGATGGTGATGATGATGAGAAGGAATAACATGAGAATCTGGATTTTAATTCCACATTGGATTCATTCTTTCGTCCCCGAATTATATGAGGAGGCTAAATATGTTTGTGCAGACACGCTGTATGTTCTGTAAGTACATATCCAACATATCTGCATGTGCTGTCACGCCTTTTTTACTACCAAATGTATCAAAAATTTAAACCGGTATGCTGGCGTACTCCACTGTACTGTGGGCACAGCTGGTGGTCCACAGTCAGTGTGGTCTGGTAGCAAGATTCACAAGATCACCACCTGTTGCTGAGTTATCGCTTCACAGACATTCAGCACATGCCTGTTATATTAAGTTTCTTCGCCCTTCTTCTTATGTATGTCTAATTTTTGGGATAAATCTTACTTTAAATCTTACATCAAATATGATGTTTTCTAAACAGGATTGCAAAAGACAGTTAATATACTAGCATACTAATAATATTAGTTTTGATGATTATATGACTTTAAATTGAATGTCTTTGTGCTTTCTACTATTTGTTGGACAAACAAAGGATTTTAAAGACTTTCTTACTGACATTTTATGGCATAAACAGTTAATTGAAAAAAATACTCAACACATTAATCAAAAAGAAAATGTCAGCTGGGCACACAAATGAGCACAAACACATAACGAACATACACATTTGCATGTAAACTTGAAACTGTATTCGGTTTCTTAATATTGGCCACTCAGCACCGAGTCATCTTGCATTTCTCTCGTCCCCGGCTGCACCACAGCTGAGGCAAGCCGGAGGAGCAGCAATTCAAACTTTTGATGGATTTACATTCCGAGAGGGGAAAAAACCCCAGTTTTAAACAGTTGTGCTGTCTGTCATGTACAGTACATACACATTCACAGATATTAGCTAATTATTGTTTACATGATTATCAATTCAGTTCATCCGAGTCAGCATCAGATGCCGGTTTTTACCAAAGTATTTAATTGCTGCACAAAAAGAAGAAAAAGAAAAGAAAACGGCCTCTGAGCAATTAGCTTGAAAAACTGTTTTCAGCATGCTGCTGGTGGAGACGACTTGACAGCAATGCTGACATTTATCAAGGTGCAGCTTTCTTGTCCTGAGCTTTCTTGAATATATATATATATATATATATTGTTATAAAAATTGTTTAATCCCAT